AACTGGTGAGCCTTTTTCAAAAGTTGCTGGCATGCCCAGGTCACACATTTGACCCACCATTTGGTGCGCTTGCCCTATACCCATCCTCTCATTTCTCTTCCACATTTTTGTTTGTGCCAGGTTCACTGCTTTCTCTCTTCCTCCTCCCTCGCTCCATCCTATCTAATGGGTATCCATTCCTTCATTGAACACTTCTGTGAAGCCCTTCCTTATTGTTCCGTCTCACACAATATCTTCCCTCTTTCTTAGGACTGCCGTAGTGCTTGCCACACTAACATAGTCAATGGTATAACCATGACATGAGCCGTAACCACCATTTCCTGAGGTTTCACTCTGTAGCAGATGCCATGCAGCATAGACCTTCACAGGAGCCTGTGTGTTAGACTGTCTGTTCCCATTTCACAGATGAGGAAAAAAAGTTGGAGCAGTCAAAGGATTTGCTCCAGGCCACCAGCGGGTTAGGAATGCAACCAAGATTCAGACTCAGGTAGGCTGGCTTTTTGCCCTGTGCTTCCAATCACTGCTCTATTCTTCTTTTAACAATACACATGTTCTGAGGGTAGGAACCATGTGTTTGTATCCCTACCAGGCCTGCCATAAACACGAGGAAGCCACACGTATTCACCTTGATAAACCGGTTGCATAATTCTGTAGGTTTTCTCTGTTCATGTGAATGGCTTTGGTTTGGAGTGTTATCCTTAAGATTTCATTTGATTACCTGCAACATAAACAAAAGGAACTGTTTATGAAAATATACAAGAGGCTGCTGATGCAGCATTTTAGCCCCTGGAGCTGTAGCAGGCATTGCGGGGCAGGCTACGTGGACAGGAATGCACGCGGCATGCTTCTTGCCTAGAGAATATATCACAGTGCCAAATTATTTGCCAAACAAATTGTGGAAGCAAAAAAATATTTAAAATTGATGAGTGGAGTTTTATTTTATTTTTAACTGGAATGAGGATGCTAAACTAAATTTGTATTTTTTGTTCTAAGGTAGATTATACTTTCGCTTACTTCGAGGCCTTTTAATCCGTTGCTGAGTTTCAGCACTGGTTTATCAGTTTCACCCTCCACGCTCTTTGCTCCTCTGCCCTCCTTGCGTATAACTTGCTGCTAGAGAAAATCGGGCAGAGTAGTCACTAAACCCTCTTGGCCTACTGAGATTCTTGAGTTCCTGCTCTTTCCCCTGCTTCTGCCCTCCCACCCCTTGAACCTACTGGTGACTCTGGTTCACCCAGTTCCTAAGCCAACCCCGGAGACCCAGGACAGGTGCTAATGCTAATAACTTTTGCTTTCCCCTCTTCTCTCCCGCTTGCCACTCACTTCCACCCTCCTCTCACCTGTGAAACTCAGACCCTGTCAGTGTCAGAACTGGTTTCACTTGGTTCCTCTTAGCTGCTAAGCCTCAGGACCGCTGATACCACTTTCCCCTCCTTAGCCTCCCGTTCTTTGCCAAGGCCTTCACCCTTTTCCGACCCCGAGGGTGGGGACTAAGCTGGTAAGTGGGCTCTGGTACTTGGACCTGCTCTCTGCCAGTCTGAGACCCGAAGCTTCCTTACGACCACTGGCCTTCCTTCTGCAGCAGCCTAACTCTTGCCCCAAACGCTCTTACCCATTCTACAGTCAATCAGTGCTCTGAACTCTGCTCTCCACCTTCCTGAAGCCTCTTGCTGAATTCAAGCCAAACTGGAGTTAATTCTCAGTTATTTTATCTTTTGGTCAAAGAAAAACAGTCATAGGAGAATTATAGTCAACAGGAGACTGACAAATTATCCAAAAATTTTATTTGATAATAATCATGTTGCAGATCCCTGTCAGTGGTCCAGTGTTTTGTCTTGTGATGTAGGAACACATTGCCTAATAATAATGGGGAACAGACTGAGCTTGCAGTTAAAGTGTCTGCACTCCCATGTTCAGTGCAGCATCATTCACAGTCACCAGGACATGGAAACAACCCAAGTGTCCATCGATGAATAAATGGATAAGAAATGATTGTGTGTGTGTGTGTTCGAGCGCACATGCAGTATGATGGGATATCATTCAACTTTGAAAAAGAAGGAAATCCTGTCATTTGGAGGATCTTGGAGGACATTATACTAAGGGAAACAAGCCAAACAAAGAAAGACAAATACTGTATGATATTAGTTACTTGTAAAATCTACAACAGTCAAAACTCAGAGAAACAGAGCGGTTGCCAGTGGCAGGGAAGTGGGGGGAGAAAGGTATTGGTCAAAAGGACAAACTTTTGTTATAAGATGAATGAATGTTATAAGATCTAATGTATAGCAAGGTAACTATAGCTAATAACATTGCATTATATGCTTGAAACTTGCTAAAACAAACACAAATGAATTCTGTCAATTGATGAATGTGTTAATTAATTCAGTAGTGGAAATTGTTACACAAGGTATATTTCTATCAAAACACCATGTTGTATAATTTGAATATGTACCGTTTTTCAGTTTCTTAGTCATGTTCAAAAATAGTCTTAACAAATTTAGCATTAAATATCATTCAATAAAATCCTATTAAATATCATTCAATAAATCCTATTAAAGGATTTATTTAGAAACAAAAATAAATAAAAGTTACAAAATGCTTTCCTTAACCCAATCTTACTATTAATGTTCCTCATAATCCACTCGTGTCTTCAGATAGAAACCTTTGTATTGGAGATGGTATATGGGGACTCTCATTCAAAGAGAAGAAGGGACAGTAGAAATCTCACTCTAATTTGTTCCTTGCAGGAATTCAACTGTGTTTTGTTGGAGTCATTGATGAATACATGAATGAATGAATGAATGAATGAGGCAAATAAGTAAGAAGAATAAGTTAACTTGATCAAAGTTTGTATGTCCAAATCATGTGTTAAGGACTACCGCTTTTTTACCCATCTTAATTATCTGTGCCTATTACAAATTGTTGTCTCTACTAGACTTTCAATTGCAGATTCAGACTCAGAGGCTTTTAAAAATTATGAAATTGACTACACATTTATTAGAGGTTTAATCTGCTATTATCACAAAATTACTACAGTAGTTTTAAACTCTGTCAGGAAGCTTTTAACTGAACCCTGTCATCAGAGTCAAATTTGATTGTTGGGATGGAATCTTTTCATTTCTTTCTTGAACATTGTCTAGTAGAGAGGTCTGCAGTGACCATATTGGCCATAGTGGTGCCATTCATTCTACAGGTAACAAATTTGTCATGAGAACAAGTGGCTAGATGTACTTTTCATAGACAGTGTGTATCCACAAATTGGTTCTGGGGAAAATTGGATTTAGTTCTTCAAGGTTACTTACTTTCACAGATTGATTCATTGAGTGGAGATCACTTTTGTACCCTAAGGGCTCAACTGTGCTCTCCCTTACTGGTACCCATTGCTAGGTGGGGTTCAATTAAACAGGAAAGAGAAATGGCAGTGTATGTTCACATGACAGATGAGATGACAATATTCACCTTTGAGACAGGTATCTTGGAGGAAAAAGTTCAACCTTTTTTTTTTTAAATGTGAAATTATCTCCTCAGTCATTTTTATTTCCAGTCAAACCAGGGTCTGATAAAATTGGTGTACAAAGCATACTCCTCCATACCATTTATTCTAGTAGCTTCTAATTTTAATCGTAGTTCTCAGTCTTTGCTTTTTGACTATGAGTTTTAAGATAGAATAAATCAAATTAGCTCTAGTGGATAGATACAGTTTTTGCTAATGATTTTTACTAACCAAAATATACCTCCTCCTTATGTGAAAAAGGCAGCGTGAATTATTATTAATTTGACTGACAAAGAAAGGCATTTCTAATTTTATTTAGTGACTGAAATAAATTACTTTACCATAAATTAAATGTGAGATAAATGTGTGATCCTCTCTCAGTGAACAAAACAGATTTGAGTGCCAAGCACATTTTTGTAGTAGATCTCTTTATCCAGTTGGTGGTGCTAAAAACTCTGATACGAAGCTAATTGAAAAGAGAAGAGGTGAACCTGGAGTCTTTCTTAATAAATGTTTTTTATTAGTTTTTGAAAAATTAATATAAAAAGCATATGTACAAATTAGTGCATTTCCTAAAGTTAGGAATCAACCCAAATCCCTCTGAGAGCCAACAGAGTACATTGATGGTATGCTCCTATAGAAGTATGTTAGTATTCCCAGGGGAAGTTGTGTGGTTTTGTAACATCTGACTCCATCCTGGATTAGACTTGCTTGTTAGGGAAGGGAGATGTGGGCCATAATGTTCGCTAGAGCAGTAGAGTTCTATTTCTGGTTACTATTTATGTGCCAAATTCCAATTTCAAAAACTTTGACTTGTTATTACTTTACAATTTTTTTTTAAACTGTAAGTGTATTCTGTGACAGCAGAATCATTGCTTTTGTAGGATTAGGTTTTCATTTAACCCTTTGTGGCCCCCTTCTTATTTTAGCCCTGAAGAATCCAAATGGAGCAATAGTCTGTGCATGACGGCACCCTGAGATGCAGTCAGGGGCATAGGCTTTGGGGTCAGAGAGGCCAGGTTTTGACATATTCATAACTGCCTCTTAGGTACTTAGATTCTTTATATCTCAGTTTTCCCAACTTGTAAAGCGGTCATGATAACAACTTTTTCCAGAGTAGGTGTAAGGTGCTTCTGGGGTGTTGTTTACCCTGTGCTTCCCTAGGTTGAAGCTGACTCGGTTCTTTTTCAGTCCCTAGCACTCCATGAGGACTTAGGATATAGGCTTTGGGGCAGGGGGCCTCCTTGGTTCAGATGATGTCTCATGGTCCACTAATAGAAAGCTATTTCTGGTTAAAATTCTACAAAGATTTTATAAAGATTCACAAAAGAGATAATCATATAGTTATATCTTGTTTCCCTAAATTTGCCAGTTTATCCTAAGAATGTTTATATGTTGGTCGGGAGTTGCTTAAACATTTAAGGTTGGAGAATGGAATGCAAGGTTTTTGGAAGGTATGGCAATGGTGTCATACGAGTTTGTTCGTTCATCAATTTTTTTTCTACAGACTTCTATTGAGCATTGCTATTGCTGGGCCTCAGGCATACCAAGTTGAACTCCAGAAGAGCCTGGGCATGTCTCTGAGGACTCAGAACTTCAAGAAGCATGTGCTTCCCAGTAGGCAGTCCATATTACTGAAATTTAAATATTCTTTATGTTATAAAAATTATTGGATTATCTATAAAATTGAAAAAAATTTAAACTGATAGCTTTATATTAAACTTTCTACATTATCTTTTGTGTTTGGAAGGTTGAAATAAGTTTTAAGAAGGCTTCTGTGGAATGGTGAAATATCTAAACACTACTAACCAGGAGTTTTAGCTGGTAAAGAATGTTAAAATATACCTGTCAGGCATGTATGTGTGTGTCCACATGCACATGTGTATATAAATGTGTGTACGCCGCACATACACACCTTTGCCATACCTTCTATATGCACATATATATGCACGTCTGTGTATATATATTGTTTTTAGGAATAGCACAGCTATCATCTTTAGTCAGATCTGATGGATGGATCAGGTCTTTGAGAATTAGAGACTGTAGCATCCTAGAATTGGATGGTGGGAGACTTGTAGAATCACATACACCATCTTGTCTTATAGCTAAGAAAATGGAGACTGAGCAAACTTTTATGGCTTTAGCCAAGATCCATAGATCTGGACCAAACTCCGTGACCCCTGACTTCCACTTCCATGCTACTACATTATTTTCCCATACTGACCTCTGCATGATGAGCCGTTTTCAATGTAAATAAAAACAAGGGTATACTTGTTCCCCTCCAGTAACCTCTCATACTAAATATGGAGTGTGTTTCTGCCCAATTATCAGAATCAGGACTTGTTCCTGAGGCAGCTGACTAAGTAGCTCCTGTATTGTGTCAGAGCAGAGATAAGGGAGGCAGGGGACACCAGGCCTGGGGTGTGTGCTTCACATCAGAGGCAGGCTGGGCTTTGGCTTGCTGTCTGCCTTCCCCGCTTCTTATTTCTTACCAGATGAATGGCATCATATGCCACAGGTGTATCAGTAATTTCTGAGTTTTTTTCCCACTAAAAATGACCTCATTGTTTTGTGATTCTTTTCTATAATTATGCAGTAACAGGAAAATAAACCAGCCCTGAGTACAGCCCATAGCAGAAATCGTGTGCTCTTTATGCAAGTTTGATTTATAGACGTGTACTGCAGAGCAGAGTGACTATGAAACATTCATCTTCCCATTGCTGGTTGCCATGGAAATGGAGTACACAGAGCAGTGTCATTCCAGTCCTGGTGATGCCTGCAGTAGTTTATTCCTTTGTTGTTCTCGTTTCTTAAGCAACTGCCTAGCATTCTTTCATCATTACAATTAATCATGCACACAAGTTTTTATCTTTCATCGCACATAGAAACCACTAAAAATGTATGACAAAAATAGGGAGAATTTAAATATTCTTGTGGCTTTAAATATGCATTTGTAATTTCCCCTCTCAGTCCCATTGGAAAGATAGGTCATGGAAAAAAGAAAAGCTCATCTTAATGTACAGAAATTTCAATAAAGAAAGCAATATAGACATTTGAGGAAGAAGCCAGGAAACCATAAGGAACTTGAGATTCTGAGGTTCCCTGGTGTTTGAATCTAAATAAGCCTGCATTCTGGGTGATGTCACCCTCACTACTCCCCCTAAACCTAGAAGTCCCTGAGCTATATATAGTCAACTCTCCTTTGGTGGTGTTTTGTTAGTCTCTTTAATGGCTTGAACAACCTAAATATTTGCTGGATAGACATGGTAGATATGAGAGTGGGGATCCTTTTTTTTTTCTTTAAGACTGTTAAAGTTCAAGACTTTATTTCAGTGCAAGTAAAGGGAATTCTAGCTATTTTTCTTTACTTTTTAATGAAATCATCTCACTCCAGTCTTATCTCACATGGTTCGTATAACATACAACAAGTAATAAATGGGTGTTGACCATCTACTGCTGTCTTCTGTTGGACCGCAGGCTACTCTGTTGTTTTTAGGAGTGTGTTCTGGAATAACTGGGTCTAAATCTGTACTCCATTACTTATCAACTGTGAGATCTTGGAAAACTCTCAACTGGCCTTCTTTCTCCCATCTGTAGTGTGAGTAGTTATAGAATTAAGATAATGGATTTTTGGTAGGGGAAATAATTCATACAAGGGGCTTAACTCTTGCTTGGCACAAGATAAGTGCTCCGTCAGTGGAGACTCTTGTCATGGTGGTGGTGGTTCTATTGCTATGACCCCTCAAGGCCAAGAACACTGTGCTCCAACCTGGGAGTGAGACTCAGTTCATTGACATCAGCTCTGGCCCCAAAGCCCAGGGACTATTACAGGCTCTGAGTTCACAACATGATGTCAGTGGTTTGTCAGACTTGAGCTACGTGCACTTGTTTCTTCTCAATGCTGAAGGTATTAGGATGGTAGCCCAGATGTTTACTGTGCCTCTATATCTGGAACTCGGAGAGAAGGCTGCTCCAGGCAGTCCTGGATGATACAGATTTCTCAGGTGTGACCTGGATTTGATCTTAAAGGAGCAGCGTGTGCAGCACCTTGGGAGGGAGGGAGTTGTCTGCAGGAACTTGTCTTGGGGAAGGTTCTGGCGCTTGCCCGCGGAGCCCGAATTGGCCTCTGCTCTGCTGCCTTTCCTTCCTCATCCTCCCCTTGTCACTCAGGGACTTCGGCATCCCTTCATCCTTCCTAGAATTGAAGCTTCCCGAGCTGGTGGCAGAGCGTTCTTTGTTGAAGTTCAGTCTCCTTGGCAGTCCTCCAGGGCACACGGCAATTCCTATTTATTTGATTTAGCCTTTGTTTGGTTAGCCTTGTATTTTGTCTGTTTTCCTTTGTGAAGTTCTTTTTTCCCCAAAATTTTCATGTTTAAATTCCTTGGACTTCGTTTCTATTTATTTTGCCAGCTTGCTTCATAGTATTGCTAAAAGTTGTTTGCCTTAAGCTATCACAAACGAGTAGTCTTGGATTAATTCGTCTCCCCCACGTCTGTGCCATCACGTGGGACTAGGTATAGCTTGGAATGATTAAAGCAGAAGAGCCTTTCCAGCTTGCCCTTTGCCCAGGCCACACTTTCCTGCTTCCCAGTCTTCTTTGTTTGGCTCTTTGTTTCTCCCTGTCCCTGGCTCATGTCAGTTTTAAAGAGAGAGAAGTAGTTTAATTTTGTGAATGCTTTTGTTCTTCCTCCTCTTCAGTGGAGTTTACCAGATGCTTCATGACTGATCATCCCTGAGTTAAAAATGTGTCCAATTTTTGTCTTCCAAGTGAAGCTTGCAACGCTCTCACTTGGGTATTCTGTATGTACCCTTGTGTGTGTGTGTGTGTGTGTGTGTGTGTGTGTGTGTACACAAATCAGTGACTGAAACTTTGACTCTCTGTGGACATTTTCAAAGCCTCCTGAGAGCCCAGGTTTTCTGAGTGGTCTTGACCTCACTCAAGGTGTCCAGTGTGTGCTCTTGTCTTCTTTGTCCTGCAGTGACTCTAGGAGGCACCTTTGCCCTGTGTGCTTCAGTCTCAGGATAGTTAATCCTGAATGGTGATTCCAAAATACTGTGGGCAGGAAGGATGCTTCATGAAGGCTAGAGGGACCCAAGGCTGGCTTCAGAGGAAATGAAAGCCAGTGAGAGACCAGAAGCGTGGCCCCACCAGGTGGAGGGAGCGTGTGTGTGGGCAGTGTGAGTCTGCAGAGATGGGCAGGGGAGTGGGCACAACTGGGAGCTTAGTAGAGCTAGTCTGCCCTTCAGTACACTGGTTTTTGTCGGGTAGATGAGTTGGTGGGGTAATAATGCAGAGTAATAAAGTTTGAGAAGTAGGCAGGGGCCAGATCATGAAGGCCTCAGAAGACTTACCAAGAAGTTTGACCTTTATCCTGAGGACACTGGAAAGCCATTGACATGCTGTAAGTGGGGAAGTGACATGATCAGCCTTGAGACCTACACGATCTCTCCTGTCATAGTGTAGAGAATGGATTAAAATGTGAGAGAGTGGCCTCTATCCGTGTTGATCCTAGGGACCATCTTCCCAAACTCGGCCCTTTCTTAAATCCACAGTGTTTGTCCAGCTCCACATGTCCAGCTTCTGGTGTTTTCCTGATTAGCATGAGGGCTTTCCCACATTTTAGCTGTCCCTTTCTAGCTTTCTGTCTTGAAGGCCAGGAATCTGCTTTCTCCCAAGCTCTGGGCTTGTTCTTGCTCGAGTGTGAATGTGCATCTGGAGCATCCCTGGGTCCCCATTTCCCTGAGTCCGTTGTTTTGCCCTCCAGCTTGGGTGTCCTAGCTAGGAGTTTGGCATCAGCCTGGATCTAGCCAGTGCTCAGTGATTTCCTAAATTCAATGCAGTTCATGTGGTTGGCTCTTCCCATGCAGCCAGGCCAGACCTGCACCTGAGGAAGTTCCCTTAGCCCTCTTTTCCCCACCAGCTGTTGAGATTCCCAGACAGTCCACCATTGATCCCTACTCCATGCCCATATGGAACAGTTAATTCAAGAAGACTGATTGAAATAAAAAGAGTTGTACTAACTCATAGATCTGGGACAAGTTATTTAACCTCTCTATGCCCGTTTTCTTCATCTGTAACTGCAGAGAATGAGAGCCTACATCACAGAATCATTTGGAGCACTGTATATGCAAATGCACATTTAAACACTAGGTCTGGCCCACACTAAGCACTCAGTGTTTATTGTTTTACTAAGATGTCTTGACTTTATTCTAGATCAGGTGGCAGGAGAACAGGAAAATTTCCAACTTCAGGAATAATTGATGACAGCCAAATGAGTATGAATTTTCAAAGACCCCTTCCTCTTATTCACAGTGAACAGTAGAGAGATGAGAGTAACATCACATCCTGCCCAGCTGGAGGGCTGTTATGGTGAGTGAGGAGATGATGTGAGGGTGTTACGGCTTGGATGTAAGATGTCCCTAAAAAGCTGACTTGTGAGACAATGCAAGAAGGTTCAGAGAAGAAGAAGTGATTTGAGGGAGCCGTAACCCTATCAGAGAATTAATCAACTTGATGGGATTAATTGAGTGGTAACTGGAGGCAAATTGGGGTGTGGCTGGAGGAGGTGAGGCATTGAGGGCGTGGCTTTGGGGTATATATTTGTATCTGGTGGATG